AGCATCCTGTCATGTCCTGACTTGAATTTAATTGATATTTGGATTAGTTTTGACAAGGATGAGGTGCTAAGGGGGAAAGGGTTGATCCATCTTCGATGGAGATGATGATTTTTATCTACTGAACAAAAACAATAGTAATATAATAAATAGTAGCCCTGTTTTTAGGAGTGACCTCGTGGTCTGGGGATACTGAGACCCAGCCATGAGCTCACTATTTTTGCATGTAATTCAGTTAATTTGAGCGTTCTGGTCGAAGCCGGAGAACAGTAACGTTTTTGTCGACCCGATGTAAGAAAGACCACCGAAAAGTACTGGCTTGGTAGAGACGGTGAAAAACATGCAAAGCTCTGTTTAGACGCTAGCCAGTCGTCCTAAGACTTAGTTTTGTTATCCGTCGATATGTATCTTCCGGGCGAATGTTACAATGTTATATTTACTATATAAATCAAAATGCTGCATGACAATTTCCTGATTGAATAGGACAAAAGAAATTTTAAATAATTGGCTTGAAAAGCGAGAATTCAAGGGTGCAGGTGTGTGCAGATTTTGATTGCTGTTTAGCGATAGTGTGAAAATTTTACATGGACGTGAATTTTGGGGTGTAGATAAGCTGAAGTCTGCTGCAAACTTCTGTAAATGACAACTGGCACTCTACCTTGAGCAACACTCGGTTTTCTGGGACTCACTGGCAGACGACAGCACGCGATGAGGACATCGATCTTGAGTCCGGGGAGTATGTGCCAGTCGGTCATATTTGGAAGTTTGACCTTGAGAAAAACAAGAACGCTTAATTTTGGAGTGAAATTTGATTTTTCAAAAATTCGAATGGAGCCTGTCATGCACGATTTTCTCGCGATAACTGAAAACCGAAAAAGAGAAAGGAGAACGATCGAAAATCAATCGCGGGAAAGTAGCCAGATAAAACAGTAGGAAATTGCTATTCGCAATTTCCGTCACAATAAAACTAGAGTAGAGCTGTGCTATCTGAAACAGAAAGAAGCGTATTCCCGAGAACTGGACTATTATCACTGGACTGGATTGTTATTCGAACTGGACCAGAGTGAACCTTCGATGGAAAGGTGGACAGCTTGAGTGTCCCAATGGTTCACGAGAAACTATACTCTAGAGTTCAAACTTGGTCCTGTTATTGAAACTGATAAACATTAAACTCATTTAGTTACATTATTTAATTCTCGAGTTGATTACCGACTTAATTACTCCCAGTTCTTGAGCGTGCTACGATGTGAGTACTCAATTTAAATTTCTAGAGTGTGTTTTATGATTGTTATGTTGAGGTAAGGCGAGTTTTAGGTTGATCCATCTGAAATGGATCAAAGTTCCACTGTCTGATAAAAAGTAACTCAACGGATTGTTCTGACCCGGTTTTTAACGGCGTTCATGTATTTTGGGTATCTAGAGACCTAAGTATGGGGACGTTCTTATTTCTAGAGTGGGGGGATATTTTGGTAGTAGCCTTTAAGCTGTAACGGGTCGTAGTCTCATGTCACAAGCGAACCGAATTGGCTCCGACTGATTTGAGGTAGAAAAACACAAGAGATAGTGTCCCTGACTCTTGAGCCAATGGTTATAGAGCCTATTTTTCTTAAGCCTCATGTGTGACTACAGTAGACGAATGTTACAGCAATAGAGCATCGCGATCAGCAAAAGTTTCAGCGACGAACCCTCCTCTGCCCGAGTAAAAGTCCTTATTGTCCTGTATTGTACCAGGCGGTAGTTGCGAACCCTCCACCTGGTACAATTTAGTTTTTTAACCAAGTTAAGACCGAAATTTCCGGGGGTCGGAGGATTAGTTATTTCTGGGTGCATGTTACATTGATGAACAGCTTATTAGGCCTTTCTGGTCAAATGTTACCAGCAATGTGACTCTAGATCTGATTTTTGGTCCACTTTTTCGCAATTATGAAATCTGCTCTTCGGATTTTCTGACTTTCTCTTTCAGTTGCGGAGATGTTCAAGTCCTGGTAGCGTTCGAAATTGGTGAAATTGATCGCAATCAGCTTTGACTGCTTATTAAAACGTAATTTTTTTTATTTAAGAAAGCTGTATCAAGCTCTAAATATCCGGATGGATACTCAGAATCTTGAGAATGTTGTTGCGAAGCTGAGTAGCATTGACTCAATTAATAACTTGGAAAGTCTTTGGGATGATTTTATAGAAATGTCAAAGCAAATTTTTGATGTGTTTCTCTCCCGGAATCAAGAAGAAGAAATTGATAGACTTTTAGCTCCGCTATTCAAACAGTTCATCGTCAAAAACTGCTCCTCGACCAACTTGTACACCTTGGTTAAACTCTGTATGGAAAAAGGCGACGAAATCAAACAGACATCGATCTCAAGTGAGTATTTTAAACAGATTCTTTGCTTAAATGAACCCGTTTTGTTGTTTGAAAGGCTAGAAAATTAAGTCAAATATGGGATAGATAGGAAAGTTTTTAAATTCTATCATCAAAGGCCTATGGGACCCCCGAAATTCTTGATTTAAAAACTGCTCCTCGACCAATCTGTACACACTGGTTAAACTCTGTATGGAAAAAGGCGACGAAATCAAACAGACATCGATCTCAAGTGTGTATTTTAATGAGATTCTTTGTTTAAATGAACCCGTTTCAACCCGTTTTGTTGTTTGAAAGGCTAGAAAATTAAGTCAAATATTGGATAGTTAGGAAAGGTTTCAAATTCTATCATCAAAGGGCTATGGGACCCCCGAAATTCATGATTCCACTATCATTAATGGATATATATAAAGAGCTTGCAAACCCGTTTGGTCAGATCTATTAGATTTGCTACTCTGATACTTTTTAAATGAGCTTGCTGCTTTTAACGTTCCTTCTATGCCAAGCAATTCAATATTACAGAGGTTTGATTAGCTCTGACTGTGTTAGCCTAATTAAACGCTCTCAATTTGGCTTTTGTTAGACGGTTAGGTCTCATGGCGGAGCTGTTCACGCGTGTGACTGTATCTGGTTGTACCTCATTCGAATACCCTGGTCCGCGATTTGTCTGACGCCATGCTTTTCAAAATAGGAATTCTTATGAACTTATTTACATTATTCACTCGTCTAATAGTAGTTTTGTAACCATTAAATTAATTGAAAATCCACGTGGAGGTAATCGAGCTGTAATTTTGTTTCGCGGTTTGATTTTATATTGTTTTTTGAATTCAGTTCTTTTTTAAAAGGAAGTCAAACATCACTATCGAAAGGCAAAAGTGAAAATGTCACGAAAGCTTGATCCACTTCTCGGAGAGTTTAAATATCAGATTTCCCAGTGAATTAAAAATTTTAACTATTGATCCGGTGTTCCCAAATTGGGTCGTTGTAACCAAAAAGTGTCAAACAAATTGTTCTAAAAACTCGAAGAGCTTGTAAGGTTATCTATTTTTTCTTAAGATTTAGAAGTTAATCCAGTATTTCTGTTTTCTTGCGGTCAATGTCTTTTTTCCAATTGTCCATGGGATATGTTCTTAGTTGCCCGCGGTGTTCAGGTTGTTTTCCAGATCTGTTTGTCAACGTTCGACTAGTTTAGACCAATTTAGTTATCTTCAAATTGTTCGCATAAGAATTGTGATTGGAATAACGACATTTTTTCGCAAATGGCCGACTGGCACATCATTCCAATCTTTTCACTTTTCTTTCCGATCGGCCTAATGCATACATCAGATTTGGAAGACGATTGGCCCAAACATCTCTCAGTGCAAGATAGCCCAAAATGCTAGCTGCTTCTTAATAAAGGACGTTAAAAAATATGTAGACAAAATAGTATGTATACTTTTTCTATTATACAGCTTCTATTATTTTCACTGCGAGAGTAGGTACGTTGTTATTTGGAATTAGTTCTTACCTTTATATTGTTTTTCTTACAAATATGTAGGAAACTGAGCTTGCTTTATTGTTGAACCTCAAAACCTACGAACTTTTTTAGTCTAGTGGTAAAGCGCGTGCCTTGGGCTTCTTAGGTCTGGGGTATTATTTTTGTCGGGACCTTGTTTTTTTGTCGATAGACCTTGATATGATTTTTATTCTGGGAAAATTTGAAAAGAGTTGTTTACTGGGAAGCGGAAAATTATTGGTCCGGGTTTGTGAGCTTAATTTCCTATGCATGGAAATTTCTTTTGATTCAAATTACTTTGCCTTTGTCCCAGAGTTTTATGGCTGGAAGTTCTTTCTGGTTATAAGTTGTTTTTCTTGTGCCATTTAAACATTAATTTCTTTTTCAGTGCTGATGTTGGCTATTTTACAGAAAGTACTTCTACGGTACACAAGGTAGCATATCTTGTTTTTTAAATATGGATAAGAGAATACCAGCTGTTGGTCAGCAGTGTTATTGATGTGGGCACACTTTAAGAGTCGATGAATTTAGTTCAGACTCTTATTTAGGTCGCGGTGATATTTTTTTAGTGCTTTTTTTAGGAAAAGTTTTAAAACTTGTTCAAATTTAATTTTTTGCGGTTTGACTTTTGATTTTTTTGAAGTTCATTTCATTTCCTTCGTTAAAACGAAGACAAACTTCAATTTTGAATAGCAAAACTGTAATTTTTTAAATTGGAGTTTAAATATCAGATTTCCCATTGAATTAAAAGTTTAAACTTTTGATCCAGTTTTCTCAAATTTGCTGATTTTAATCAAAAAGTGTCAAACCTAGATTGTTTTTACAAATTTTAAGGCTTTATAATTTTTAATCGAAGTTCGAAAGTTGAGTTTTTTTTCAATTAAAAACAACTCAGTGTTTTTTCTGTATACTTGCGTTCATTGAATCTTTTCCAACTCTCTGTTGGCTATGTTCAAGAAGATATAATGCAAGTTTGAGCATTGAGTTTTTTTGCTTGAAATATCAGAAGTCACTGAGGATGGTCCCTTTCACTTTGCAACGGCAGAAGTTCCTGGGAGCATACTTTCTCTTTCAGTTGCGGAGATGTTCAAGTCCTGGTAGCGTTCGAAATTGGTGAAATTGATCGCAATCAGCTTTGACTGCTTATTAAAACGTAATTTTTTTTATTTAAGAAAGCTGTATGAAGCTCTAAATATCCGGATGGATACTCAGAATCTTGAGAATGTTGTTGCGAAGCTGAGTAGCATTGACTCAATTAATAACTTGGAAAGTCTTTGGGATGATTTTATAGAAATGTCAAAGCAAATTTTTGATGTGTTTCTCTCCCGGAATCAAGAAGAAGAAATTGATAGACTTTTAGCTCCGCTATTCAAACAGTTCATCGTCAAAAACTGCTCCTCGACCAACTTGTACACCTTGGTTAAACTCTGTATGGAAAAAGGCGACGAAATCAAACAGACATCGATCTCAAGTGAGTATTTTAATCAGATTCTTTGCTTAAATGAACCCGTTTTGTTGTTTGAAAGGCTAGAAAATTAAGTCAAATATGGGATAGATAGGAAAGTTTTTAAATTCTATCATCAAAGGCCTATGGGACCCCCGAAATTCTTGATTTAAAAACTGCTCCTCGACCAATCTGTACACACTGGTTAAACTCTGTATGGAAAAAGGCGACGAAATCAAACAGACATCGATCTCAAGTGTGTATTTTAATGAGATTCTTTGTTTAAATGAACCCGTTTCAACCCGTTTTGTTGTTTGAAAGGCTAGAAAATTAAGTCAAATATTGGATAGTTAGGAAAGGTTTCAAATTCTATCATCAAAGGGCTATGGGACCCCCGAAATTCATGATTCCACTATCATTAATGGATATATATAAAGAGCTTGCAAACCCGTTTGGTCAGATCTATTAGATTTGCTACTCTGATACTTTTTAAATGAGCTTGCTGCTTTTAACGTTCCTTCTATGCCAAGCAATTCAATATTACAGAGGTTTGATTAGCTCTGACTGTGTTAGCCTAATTAAACGCTCTCAATTTGGCTTTTGTTAGACGGTTAGGTCTCATGGCGGAGCTGTTCACGCGTGTGACTGTATCTGGTTGTACCTCATTCGAATACCCTGGTCCGCGATTTGTCTGACGCCATGCTTTTCAAAATAGGAATTCTTATGAACTTATTTACATTATTCACTCGTCTAATAGTAGTTTTGTAACCATTAAATTAATTGAAAATCCACGTGGAGGTAATCGAGCTGTAATTTTGTTTCGCGGTTTGATTTTATATTGTTTTTTGAATTCAGTTCTTTTTTAAAAGGAAGTCAAACATCACTATCGAAAGGCAAAAGTGAAAATGTCACGAAAGCTTGATCCACTTCTCGGAGAGTTTAAATATCAGATTTCCCAGTGAATTAAAAATTTTAACTATTGATCCGGTGTTCCCAAATTGGGTCGTTGTAACCAAAAAGTGTCAAACAAATTGTTCTAAAAACTCGAAGAGCTTGTAAGGTTATCTATTTTTTCTTAAGATTTAGAAGTTAATCCAGTATTTCTGTTTTCTTGCGGTCAATGTCTTTTTTCCAATTGTCCATGGGATATGTTCTTAGTTGCCCGCGGTGTTCAGGTTGTTTTCCAGATCTGTTTGTCAACGTTCGACTAGTTTAGACCAATTTAGTTATCTTCAAATTGTTCGCATAAGAATTGTGATTGGAATAACGACATTTTTTCGCAAATGGCCGACTGGCACATCATTCCAATCTTTTCACTTTTCTTTCCGATCGGCCTAATGCATACATCAGATTTGGAAGACGATTGGCCCAAACATCTCTCAGTGCAAGATAGCCCAAAATGCTAGCTGCTTCTTAATAAAGGACGTTAAAAAATATGTAGACAAAATAGTATGTATACTTTTTCTATTATACAGCTTCTATTATTTTCACTGCGAGAGTAGGTACGTTGTTATTTGGAATTAGTTCTTACCTTTATATTGTTTTTCTTACAAATATGTAGGAAACTGAGCTTGCTTTATTGTTGAACCTCAAAACCTACGAACTTTTTTAGTCTAGTGGTAAAGCGCGTGCCTTGGGCTTCTTAGGTCTGGGGTATTATTTTTGTCGGGACCTTGTTTTTTTGTCGATAGACCTTGATATGATTTTTATTCTGGGAAAATTTGAAAAGAGTTGTTTACTGGGAAGCGGAAAATTATTGGTCCGGGTTTGTGAGCTTAATTTCCTATGCATGGAAATTTCTTTTGATTCAAATTACTTTGCCTTTGTCCCAGAGTTTTATGGCTGGAAGTTCTTTCTGGTTATAAGTTGTTTTTCTTGTGCCATTTAAACATTAATTTCTTTTTCAGTGCTGATGTTGGCTATTTTACAGAAAGTACTTCTACGGTACACAAGGTAGCATATCTTGTTTTTTAAATATGGATAAGAGAATACCAGCTGTTGGTCAGCAGTGTTATTGATGTGGGCACACTTTAAGAGTCGATGAATTTAGTTCAGACTCTTATTTAGGTCGCGGTGATATTTTTTTAGTGCTTTTTTTAGGAAAAGTTTTAAAACTTGTTCAAATTTAATTTTTTGCGGTTTGACTTTTGATTTTTTTGAAGTTCATTTCATTTCCTTCGTTAAAACGAAGACAAACTTCAATTTTGAATAGCAAAACTGTAATTTTTTAAATTGGAGTTTAAATATCAGATTTCCCATTGAATTAAAAGTTTAAACTTTTGATCCAGTTTTCTCAAATTTGCTGATTTTAATCAAAAAGTGTCAAACCTAGATTGTTTTTACAAATTTTAAGGCTTTATAATTTTTAATCGAAGTTCGAAAGTTGAGTTTTTTTTCAATTAAAAACAACTCAGTGTTTTTTCTGTATACTTGCGTTCATTGAATCTTTTCCAACTCTCTGTTGGCTATGTTCAAGAAGATATAATGCAAGTTTGAGCATTGAGTTTTTTTGCTTGAAATATCAGAAGTCACTGAGGATGGTCCCTTTCACTTTGCAACGGCAGAAGTTCCTGGGAGCATGCTTGGCCAATGAATTGATACCAATTTTTTGAAGTTTAGAAGACCTGAAGCAGCCGCTTTCTTTGAACGTACACTTGTTCAAAACTATCAGAGGAGGCTTCTTTGCAGGGAATTGATAGAAGCGATCAATTGACCAAAGCAACTCGCACTGAATTGAGATAACATATAGAAAGCGCGTTTTGCTTTTCCATTGATTGTCACAGTCGCTCCGCTCCGGTAACCAGAGTGTTTCTTCAATCAATGTGTATTGTGATTAACGAGATAAGAAGCAGACACTCGATGAAGCTTTAAAAACTGTGAGAAACAAGGTAGTGTAGTACGACCAGTAGGGAGCAGTCTTTTGTCCATGGAAACAAATCGCCCGCTTCGCGACAAATTTAACCAAAATCACTTTCTCGCCAATTTCGACTCATCGGGGTAACTCAGGGACAATTGAAAGACCTGCAAAAGTATTCAGTTATTGAAATCTAACATATTGAAAGCAGTTCTATTTGACAGGCTCTGGGAATTGCTTGATGGGTGAGGTTGACTATAACACCAGACTGCGTGATATCCTCAAGGCTGGACAATTTGAAAAGGCACGTGTGCCAACAAAAGAGAAGGCCTTTGCAATAAGGGTCGAGAAACAGTTTAGCAAGGAATTATTGTTTCTGCTGAATTCGCCCCGGGTCTTGTAAGCTTTTACACGTTTGTCTGGTTTGACGACGGTTCATAGGCTTCAGACACCGTTGAGGACAGTTTTATATTTGCATAGTAGTTGTTATGCTCCTTTGAACACGAGTTTGCAGACGTCGAGGGGTGCAATATGGAATCTTTGACTGCTGAAATGAATAAGCTTTGGTGCGAAGCCAAACTTGACTAAGACTAGGAAGTGATCTTAATGGATGTGAAGAGTTTATACACAAAGGTAGCAGTGTTGAAGTACAAAGTGTTTTACCTGGAAGACAAACCGCCCATAAGAATTCTTATTTTATGCAGCGTATGAGGCTGGTGTGTGCAACTGGAAGTTGTTCCTCAATCTGCTCCTCAAAATGCTGTATGCAGTCATAGGTTTAGTCGGAACTGTACTTCTCTTTAAGCAAAGACAAGATGTACTAGCGAGTTCCAGGACACTTGTTCTGTGGTTGCAGATCATCCGTTAGCTCCCCTCAGTGTCATATTCCTGAAGCTATGGTTTTCGATCAATATGTAGACGACATGATCCGTACAGCCCGTTCTGAAAAGATTGATAATTCATCAAGCGAACAGCCTCCATCCAGCTTTTGAATTCTTCGATACATAATGCTATTCCGTTTCTAGGTATAATGGTAACAAGAACATCAGAAGGTACCATCAAGAAATCGCGGTAACAGAAGCCAACTGATTATGGTCTTTTGTTGCATGCGCCCCCACACAATAAAAGACAAGTATTGGACAGGATACTGTTGACAGATTGAACAGTATATCGGAATTGAGCAGTTTTCCAGTTGCATTGGAGAAGGGGAAACTGGCCTGGGAGAACAAGTAGTACCCACCTAATTTCTATGATCCAGTTGCTAATGAAGTCATCAACGAGCGGCACGGTGACACTCAGGAAAACGGTAAATCTAAAAAAGATAATTAGGAACACAAACTTGGTCTTGTAGTACAGGACATAGCTCCCATAAACTTGCAACAAGTATCCGCAGTATTGTCCCGAAAACCGCCAGAAAATAAACAGCCTTACCGTTTCTCAAAACGCCAATTCCGGGCTAACTCTAAAGCCGATTCGTCTATGAAGTGCTTTGTCATGGATGCGGGTTCAACAATTTTTGCAAAACCAGTTGGCATTTGACGTCAAGACATGAAGAGCTTTCGAGACCGGAATGCCCAGTCTGTAATCAATTTAGAGAATGCATTGGGCACGCAGAGGACTTAAGAGCGAAAGTTATCAACTCTGACTCTGGTGAAATTTTTACGTTAGAATCTCTCTATATCGCCAGGCGCAAGCCGAGACTAAACGCACGCGCGAAGAGTACAGAAGCAGACAGCTGACACTGAGGCTGTGACCATAATTGGATTTCCTTGGTCCTAGAGTTTTCTGACTGGAAGTACTTTGACTACGCATATGTTCCTTTTTTATTTTTCGCTTGAATGGTATCGGCTAATGTGATATCGGCTTTGTCGCTTTATGTTGTTGCTGGAAGTGATAATTGTTCAATTAAAAAAATATTTTAGAGGTGGGGTTTGAAATTTATAAGTTCAAAATGTTTATTGACTATTTTTTTGATGAAATTAACAAAATTCGGGATCAATATTTGGCGTGTTTTTCTTTTCTCAATATGTTGCATTTCACGAAAGTGGACAGGACAGTATTCTCTTTATGAGTTGCTAATGCTTTAGCGAGATTATGGAGACTGAGCTTATTCGCCCAAAAGGGGTAATATGTTTTAGCTAACTGAAACTGTTGACCCGGAGTCCGTAACAAAACTTCCTTTTGTCCTGTTCGGTTAATTGAATATTCCATAGCTAAGCGATGACCAATCGTTGAATTAGTTGATCTTCGGCATCTAACAGTGTTCCTTGTGTGGTGGTCAGTATATTTTATTTCGTGCTTAAGTTATCTGGTTTGTGTTATCACATATGTCTGGTGATGCTTCACCCACCTGTGCGAAATCAGCCCTCCTCTCTCATTTCTGGTCTCAGGCGGGCCATCCTCTCGAGATGCAGATGGTATTTTCACGAAAAGCGGTGAATTTAATCATATAATATTGACGCTTTTTTGTCAGTGTTGTTTCCATACGTTTGGTGCTTGCATCGGAACTTGCCGGTGTGCCACTAATAATCCTCGCTAGTCGGTTGTTCGGATAACCCCTAACATCACTGGTAGAGAGAGCTCTAGCCGTGACATTTTGTATAGTCTTCTGTCGTCCGTGACTTCTCAAGCAATGCTTCATTTATTTCCCGACAAACTAAAAAGTAGTTGATCTCTTTCGCATCTTTTTCTTCGTGATTTTAGTGTGCTCGACAAGCGTTAATTGTGTGTCTGTATTTCACGCCCCTTTAATTTATATGTGTTCTAAAAGAATTAATGTTTTCCATTTTAAATGCGAGTTGTATTTCGCCAACCGTCTCTAATTTTCTAATGTCTAAACCCTCTTGTCTTGTTTTTTGTTTGTGTACGCGAAGTCAAGCTTCGCGTCTGTATTTGACTTCATTTATCAGCCGTGTTTTGGAATTTGGGTTTGATTTGTTTCTTGTGAGGTAATTGACGTGCGTTTAGATCTGAGTAGAGAAGCGCCCATACTTGCGAGTGTGCTGTTGGTGTTCCGTCTCATCTGTCGACACTTCGTGGAAAGAATGCCAGTGGAGGCCTTGCAGAGACATCTCTCCCTGTGCAATACTATCAGCAGTACTAATACTAATAGCAGTGACAGTAGTAGTGATAGTGCGCCTCCTTCTTCCTCAGATGGAGAGAAGAAGGTGAATGTGGACGGGGGAGTCCCGAGGACATCAAACAAATCTAATAAGAAGAACCAGGGGCTGAGAATCGATTCGGGGGTGGATTCGAAGCTGTGTCACACTCTCTTCTCCATCATCTGCAAGATACCTCTTAGGTCCGTAAATTCTTTGCTAAGCTTTATATAACACGAGGGGTTAAACTCTCTACGATTTTTCTCCCCATTATTTCAGTCAAAATCAGTGGATTTCAGACACTGCCAAACATAGGTTTTCATTGTCAAACATAGACAAAAAAATTAACAATCAATAGTTGCCACAGTTTTTGACATTGCCTAGCATAAACAAACTCTATTCTAATTGTCTCACTTATTTCTTCCCTTATTTTTTAACTTGTTCTAGCAACAGCACTATTTCTCTCCACAACGAAGCAGTTTCAACTCTGATAGTTCTTCTGAGCAGCAAAATGTACGACGAGAGAAACGCGAACGAGAATCCATTCTTCATCAACATGATTGTGCGTACCAGCCAATCAGAAGCGAATATCATCATTAAACGCCTTCTGCAGAACTATCTCTGTCCCATCTCGGAGAAGGACCAGCAAAATGGCGCCACCAAAACGAGCCAAAGCAGTTTCCAAATGGCCTCCAACTTCTTGAGTTCTCTCTCGCCTTTCAACGACGACCTCAGCAGTCAGTCCTCTCAATTCACTTGCAGTAAACAGTTTTGCGAGAAGAGCTTGCTATTGGTCGAAATTTTAACCAATCATTGCACGCAACTGTCATTGATGACGGAAAGACATTCGGTCGGAGGAGAGAAATTGGAGCACTACAATCCTTTCCGAATTGCAATTTCAACATTCGTGGATTTCTCCTTAAGCGCGAATGCGTCTAGTGGTAGTAAGACCATTCTGGGAACAGATCAGACGGCCTCTTTCTCAATCAGCTTCGATCTACTCTATTTGCGGCTGTGTCAGTTCTTAGACGAAGACCAGGAAACGTTGATGCTCTACATGCTACTGCATAAGAACTCGGCATTTCTCAATTACGTCATGACACGATCAGATATTGACAAACTATTGCTTCCTCTTTTGAAAGTGCTTTACACTCCGAAAAGTGCGTCTTCCCATCATTTGTATATGATTCTGATTATACTTCTGATTTTGAGCGAGGATACTATTTTGAATCACGTGATGACTGAGATCATGCTGCCACAAGTCACGTGGTTTACTGAGAAGTTACTCACAGACGTCAGTTTGTCCAGTCTGATGGTTTTGGTGCTACTGCGAACAATTCAAGTGAATATTACTCAGATGAAGGACAAATACCTGCATACTAATTGTCTGGCAACTCTGGCTAATATGTCGAACCACTTCCAGAATTTGAACCCCTACTGCTCGCAACGGCTAGTGGCCTTCTGCAATCATCTGACGAAAAAGCAGACGAAGCTGAATGCGAAGTTGGCCAAGGGTAGCTTTATCAACGACGACGAGGAGGGTGCAGAGAATAATCTGCGCACGGAACTTTCAGTAGTGGAGGAAATTCTACGCCTTCTGTTGGAAATCATTAACAATGCACTAACCAATCAGTTGGCGTACAACACATCACTAGTACACTGTCTGATATACGATAAGGACATGCTGAATTCGATCCGACAAAATCATAACTACCAGGACATAGTTTACAATTTGGATGTGATTGTCAACTTCTACCTGGGAAAATTGAACAGTTCTTCGGAACCCTTTTTGATATCAACATGCGATAACATCCTTAACTTCATCAAGGAGAGTAGTAAGACGTTTCCGGTGGCTAATCTTCACAAATTTCCGGAGCTGAAGTTCAGATACTGCGAAGAAGAAGCGCCAGAAGATTTCTTCATACCCTACATTTGGTCAATTGCGTACAGAAACTCCGGCATATTCTGGAACTTGGAATTCATAACTCTGTTCAAATTCACAGTCTGAGATCTTAATAAACTGTTGACATGACAATTCGAAGTTAAGAATTATTCGGTTAAGGCATCAAAACTGAATTATTGTAAGCTATGTAAATTTTAAATTTAGAATTTAGCTGTTTGAAATGTTCTCATTCAGTTTTAATTGTTATAGTGGGCGTAAAAAAAGGGTTGGAGGAATAGGAATGTTGGTTTTAGAACAAGACCGAAAAAGAAGTAGACTGATAAATTTTTCGTCTGACATGTGTTTTTCAAAATGTTTTTCCTCCCCAACTGTAATGGCTTTGAATTTGATTTGTATAGAGAATTAATACAACCAGGTCAGTCAAAAGAGCTAATTATGTGTATTTTTTAGAAGAGGAAGTAAGTCAAAAGAGTATTGCGTAGTTCATAAACTTTAATGACGAAAAAGTTTTATGCGGCATCTCACTACAAATCTTAAGTGTTTCTAGTTAACTAGATGGATATTAACTTGATACTTCAGCTTTAACTAAATAAGTGAGTTTTCAGCAAATCAAACAGACTCCTGGAACTTTTTTTCTAACCGCGCCTTGCATTGAACCCCAAATCTAGTTTTTCAAGCAAAATGTTGAAATTTTAATATAAAAAAGCGAAATGAAAGCTTCGTTCATGCAAAAACGAAAAATGAGAAGAGCGAGGTTTCTTTCAGGGAAAAAAAGCATAGACTGGTTGCCCTAAATATGTTTAATTAGCTTGCTTCTAATCAATTTTTGATGCGGCATAGCTCTAACTAATTAAGTGAGTTTTCAGCAAATCAAACAGACTCATGTAACTTTTTTTGGATCTACTTAACAATTGCCCCCCCCCCCTTTTCTGGGGCAATTGTTAAGTAGATTAAAATAAGGCACTTTCGACCAATCAGAATGCAGCAAAATTCTAATTCTCAATAGAAAGCTCAGTGCTAATTTACTGCTTTTATTAATAGGGGTGGCAATTCTTAAGTAGATACCAAAGGGGGGGGGGGGCAAATGTTAAGTAGATCCCTTTTTTTCTAACCGCGCCTTGCATTGAATCCCAAATCTAGTTTTTCAAGCAAAATGTTGAAATTTTAATATAAAAAAGCGAAATGAAAGCTTCGTTCATGCAAAAACGGAAAATGAGAAGAGCGAGGTTTTTTTCAGGGAAAAAAGCATAGACTGGTTTCCCTAAATATGTTTAATTAGCTTGCTTCTAATCAATTTTTGATGCGGGATAGCACACCATGCTTACACAACTCATGCTTGTGCTTTCAGTAGCATAAGTGTGCATTAACTCTTATAGCGAGTATAAATAAGAGCATCACCAACTTTACTTTCCGATGTCCTTAGTTTATAGGAACGAGTTGTTTAAAAATGTTAAATCGAACGACAGAAATGATCTGGGTTGCTAGTATCAGAGCGATGCTCTTAAAATTTGGCTGTTCATCATTTCTTCAGAGTAGTCTTGTATTTTTTTTAATGATGAAATTTTCACGAAAGGAAAAATTTTTTAAAAAAATGAACCCCCATTCCAAACGCTAGTTAAAACAACTTAATATCAGAATGTAGTAACGTATTAATTAAATGAACTGTGCAATAGTATAATAACTTGGAAAGATTTTTGAGACGGATTAAATCATTATCAACGAGTAAATAGCACGAAGTGTAAGGCGAATTAAATGTCAATTTTCAAAATTTCGTGACTTCTTTTTTTTTGCTATTTCAAGTTTAAAAGACAAACAAAAAAATAATTTTCGTTCAGAATTTATTTACAGTAGCAACGCTCTTGACTGCATGCAAGATATCCGCATAGTTAAAAGCAATATTTTTACGACAGCGTGTAATTTTGAACCCAGTATTCACAGATATACTTTTCGAGATTTATTTTTACGCTCTACGCTAGCGATTAGCCAAAGTTATCATTCATGCTTGTATTTTCAAAAGATGCAGAACAAATAATTTTCAAAAATTTGCTGCAGCGCCGTTTGCTGGTGTCGTCGCATAATTGCTAGAGCTCTTATGCTGCCATGCTTTTCTTGAAACTATGTATCGGGAAATGCTAAGTGAGCATGATACATGCAGATAGTTATTGTGGGGGACCGATCAGTTAGCAGACCAATATTTTAGCATAACAAGTGATAGGTGAGTTTTTTTAGCGTACCAGCGTTATAAAGTGACGCGTGATTGATTGACAGACTCAAAAGACGCTCAAGAAGCTTCATCAATTAAGACAATTATCTCACGATTTGTCAACAAAACTATAACTTCAAAAACACTACAGTCTAAATTAACGGCAAAACAAAAAATAGCATGCACAAACACACTCGTGTTGAATTGAAGCGCAGCGGAGCAAGCGGTCGCGAATCGTCAATGCCGCGTTTGAACTTAGCTTTCTGACTATTTAATTGTTTTCAGTCTGTTAAAAAATTGTTCTGCTAAAAAACCGATGTGCTCAAAACCCTGGCACCGTTATTTTGGTGGTATCAGCAATTAGTGTCTTACAAAGCATAAAGGCTGTTGACTTAGTTCTTTCTAAACTGCGGGGGTTGGAAACTAGAAGACAAGCTAACTTTTTGATCCTAAAGTAACTGAATTTAGACGTCAATTTGTGTGACAGTTGCTGACAGACCTAAATCAACTCTTAATTGATTAAAAGGTTACCCTACCTCAAATCATGGGAGCCTAGGAAAAAAGACAACAAGCAAATTAGACGACCGTAAAAAATGGGAATATGACGACAAATTGTTTTGAGTTTCTACAATAAGAACTGGGCCAACAACATTTTTCCGTTTCGAAGCAAACTACAAGAAGCAAATGTCAGAATTAATCTAAGTTTTTATTGTAAGGTAGTTATTAAACAATAAATCAAAAAAGTAAATTACATTTTTGAAATGCATAATTTATACAGCTGTGACATTAATAACCTGATTTGTGGTTGGACAACCAGTTTTTACTCAACCAAACGTTAATTGAAGTCTGTAAACAATTTTCACGCAATTTGCTCGCAAGTTGGGAGGCGTTCAACAGTGCCGAAGTACAGCAGTGCCGAAAAAGGCGGGAAAATTTCAGAATAATTCAAACTCATTTTCTAAAGAGCGAGAAATTACTGACGCTAATTATCAAAGAAAATCACTCCAATTTCGGAGCCAAAACGTCTGCAACTGCAAATTAAACAATTATTTTTATGCCAAAACGTCTAAGTTGCAAATTTTTTTTGCTCAAAATTTTAAAATTTCACTTAAAATTGTAAACGATTGCCGTTTAATTTTTGTTTGCCGCTTCTAAGATGTTGAAATTCGTTCAAAATTTTGGCACTGTTGAACAAAGTTTTAATTTTCGGCCTTGTTGAACTAATTTTTTTTGGCACTGTTGTACTTCGGCACTGTTGTACTGCCACGCAAGTTTTCGTCTAAATTTTGTTATTTTGGTCGTCTAATTTGCTTGTCTTATTTCCTTAGCCCCCAAATCAGGTTATTATTTGTCACTGTTGTATTTTAAGCTTATTTTAAAAATAAACTGGACAGTTTTTGTTTAATGTTTAATAATAAGTTAATGATCATACTTTTGATGGACTCTGTGATAACAAATCGGGTCTGTGTTGTACGAAGAGTTAGTGTCTAATTGCAGTCATTTTAGGATAGTCTAATTTTTAAGGCTCATAGCGCGGAATAAAAATCACTTCTGATAGAGATTTCCGGAACTCAAACCCATGTACTCCTAGACTTTTTTTCCGTCAGTTCTTATTTTAGCAATTTTGAATTTTTTTTATTTATTAGAATGAAACTACTTGAAACTCCCAAATCAAGAAATCCCAGCGTATCAATTTCAAGAAGGTTTCAACTGTTTTCAATTAGGTTATTGCTGGCATTGTTTTTTGTTTAGAATTGATTGTATTTTTCCCAATTTTTTGAAATATAAATTTTAGTTGATGTTGTCACATATGTAGAAGATAGTGACTTTTTATCGAAACTATGACATTTCAGTTAGCATTTGACTGATAATGTTTTTGTGTCAATAAACTGGTTTAAATTGCCGCTAGATTAGATTGAAAAACAATTTATTGTGATTATTTTCATTGTTATCATCGTTGATATTAACCTTTTGTATTTATCTCAGTGTAAAAAAAAAATCAGTTTGGTAATTTTGCTTTTGAGTTCAGAAGTTTTGTTTTTGATTCCAGTATAGAACGACTAAAGCGAACGAGTAAAGTGATAAACTCTCAATTATGCTACAAAAACAAAGACTTTCGCCATGAAAAAAAAAGTAAAAAAAACTTCATATAGCGCTTCTTCGGCCGTGAAATAAAAAAAAAACTTAAAATAAATCAGTTGTTTTGTCATTTTTCGTTTTTTTTTTTAGTTTTTACGATTTATTTCTTCAAAAATTAATAGTAAATTGAAATCACCTCACGCACAAAAATCGTCGAAATTGGGATAATTTTTTTTTTCATCAGAAAACTATCACAAAAAAATTAGTTTGGTTGAACTGAAAGAAGTTCAAAGAAATTTGGAAAAACTTGCTGACAATCTGCCCTCTTGAAAAACTCTAGGTCGGCGTCGGGTACCACACAAAATTCTTCTTTTTTGGGTATAATTCTGAATCTAATTCGGCCAGAGCCAAACGAAGAATGTTCAAAAATTATATGTTTGAATCCCAATCCAAAGTAGTTTTGGCAGACTCCATTAGAAGGTGAGCTTTTTAAATAAGTGCAATATGCTTTTCAGTTGATCTGATATGTGAAAATCTTTTTCTATTGTTCGCAAATCTAAAATAATTGTCCTCTGCATGTCAAAGTGAAACCATGCTGAAGCTTGATTGTTCTGTATTCATTCATCGTTTATAATTCACCTGTTTTGAAGAGCGATAGCAGTTTTTCTGCTCTATAATTTATTCACCATTTTGCATTGGAGTTGTATTAACGTCATAATAATACTAAATGCGTTAGTTTTCAGTTGGCAATTCCAACGCTATAGCACAAACAAGTACAACGCTATATCAAAGCACCATAGAAGAAAAAGAATTTATTTTTTTTCTCTGTCCTGTTTTTTTTGCTGCTCTGCGTGCCCGTTTATTTACCTTGCTGCTGGATAAAAAATGGACACTGAGGTGGAGAAATTGTTATCCGCTATTGAGACGCAATTGAGGAAAGGAGGTAATTTAAAGCTTTTTTTTGAGCTTCAATTGAAGCAAAATTTGCTACAGTCCTGATTTAAATTATCGGGACTGAATTAATTAAATCTGAAACTTCCATCATTTTTTTCTCAAATTCTGCTAAGTTCGGACAAAAACTGAAATGAACAAAAGCTGCTTAAAACTTAACCAAAAACAAAAATTATTGTAATTTTTTCTGCCGATTTTGCCTCAAAAGGTTTTCTGGAATTTGTTTTGTTTCTATAATTTTGATAGATATACAAAGTATAGATTTTTTTTTCATTTTCCAATGGTTAAATTCAGTTCATGATTTCCTGGTTTTTCTGCACGCCAACACTTTCTATTAGAGAAAAAAACTTTTCAAATAACAAAAATGCCGCCTTAAATTTTCACTTTTTTCGGATGCATGGTTTCTGATTTTTTTTTTTTAGTTCTATAAGGACATGTAAATAATTTTAGTTTAATGTTTAATTTTGTTTGCTGTGTTTTAACATTGAACAATTTTTATGAAATCAATTCAAGTTGATGGCATAGCGCATAGGTCATTTTTTGTAGTGTTTTTTTAAATTTCCCCTACGGGTTCCTTTATTCCTTGTTATCTGTTTTTGTTGTGATGAAGCTCTCATAAAACTGCGTATCAACTTTGTTTTTGATAAATTTTTTATTATTAGGTTTTTTTAATGGATTTTCTTCAATTTTTTTTTTGCGGAAATTTTTGCAATTTTTTTTCCAAATCTTATCATGTTTTTTTTTGCGGAAATTTTTGCAATTTTTTTTTCAAATCTTATCATGTTTTATGCCAAATACGGGAGAAGAAATGTTCTTATCTTAACTGCTCCTGCAGAAAATGCAGTTTATTTGGATGCAAAATGTTAAGCAAAAGAACTCAGTTTAATTAGGAAATTTTTTATCTTGACGTTTCGACCAATAAGTTTCTTTCTTATCAATTCATCTATTGGTTATGAGAAAAAATGAATATAGTTAATGTATCTTAAATCCTCTTTATGCTGTAGGTTTATCCTTATGTTGTATTTTTTTTATAACAACTGCAGGAAAAATCTTCAAAATTTTGGCCTTCAATTTCTTAAACAGAATTTATGTAAGCTTTTCGTTTGAGACACTTTATCTTTTGATTTCTGGCTTTTTTTGCAAAGGATCCTTAGCTTCTGTCTTAGATTTTGAATTTCTTCTAATCACCTTCTTAGGATGAAAAATTTTCAGAAAATCAATGGAGTTTTCAGCTAAAAATTTGAATGAAGTTATTTTTTTTTTGTATTCTATTTACGGTAAAAAATTGTTCTAGAAAATACCCTCTATACTTTTGCTACCAAATATGCTTTTTTTCTGAACATTTTCAAAACTTCTTCAATATCAGACTACAAGCACAAACGATAAAATTGAAAAAAATTTTTTTTTAGTTTTGCGATAACCAAGGGTATTGCGAACGGGTACTGGACTTTTTCCCCGTAATTAATTTTGTCCACAGGACTCATCTGGACGTCTGGACTCATCTCTACATTGTTTAATTATGTGTTCAAATTTCTTAGCGTTCCTGGCCAACTTAGCTCGCAGGTAACGAATATGCCTTGGACGGCAAAGGTCCTGGGTTCGAGTCTGACCAGACCTTTTTTCAAACGGAAATATCTCTTTGGAAAGAAAAATATCGGCCAATTGTTTGCCTGCTTAACTGCTGTCGGTTTAGTTGTCACATCTTGGAATTGTTTTTTTTTCTTTTTCTTGAAAACTATCTCTCTCAAATGTGCGTTTTTGGTTTCAATGGATAGATTTCAAAGGATAGTTCCTATGGATGAAAAGCTCCCCTACATATGTGGTTACGACCATTTTTTTGCAAATAAAGTTATGGCCCGCGGAGTAGTTAAATTTTTGATTTTTGACCGTTTTGTGGATCTTTTGACTTTTCTCAAAAACTAACCTCTAAAATCTGATTTTGTGAGTTTGATGAGATAACAGGTATTGGGTTGCTCTTCTGCATTAGCGGACGCTTACAAAAAGTTTTACACAACTCGTTATAGCCCTCTGAAAAGTCAAATTTTGATTTTTTTTGGCCGTTTTTCTAAGTTTTTTGAATTATCTCCTATAAATCTCCTATTTGAAAAATTACCCTGTCCTACCTGATATTTTGGTTTCAATTCTCAGAAGAGACTTTGGGAAAATCAATTGCTTATGCGACTACCTACAATTTTTTTGACTACGAAAGTCTTGCTCCTCGGAAAAGTAAAAATTATGATTTTGTGACAGTTTTTTTTGGAAGCTTTTTCATTTTTCTCGAAAACTACTCTCCCAAATCTGAGATTTTGGGTTCAATCGAAATAACAGGTTGCGTGAGTCCCTTCTGAATAATGTTTCTGCTAAATTTTTTCGCACAAAAAGCTATGATTCTCGGAATCGTCAAATTTTTGATTTGTTGACCAATTTTTTTACCTTCCTCGCTAACTATCCTCTCAAACCTGATATTATATGTTTATTCGATTAAACAGGTTGTTGAAAGCTTAACTTCAAACCAGTTATGCCCAGTTTGCTTAAAGAAGTTTATGTTCTTCAAACAAGTCAAAGTTTTAAATCTTCGCCAGCATTTTGGAAACATTTCCGCAAAAACTACCGGTCCAATTTCCAGGTTGTGATCAAAAAGAAACCCGGCTTTGGAAATTTTTTCCGCTTGAGCGGCTATAACTTGTTTTTGCAGAAAAACGTTATGAACTTTGGAAAGTTTATTGAACATTTTCAAGAACTTTCGACCGCTTTGAAGAAAGTTTTGAATTTTCTTAAATTTTTCACAATCAAATCTGAGATAAAAACTTCTATTGAAAGATCCGGTTGCGACAACTGTTCCTGCAGAAGCAACGGTTCCTTAATTTTTTGTTAGAGAAATGTTATCTCCTTGGGAAAATTGATTTTATCAAAATTTCTTACTCTTCTCACTTATTTTAGTAGCGAAACAACTAATGTTTTAAGCAAAGTTCACTTTTTGAAATCACACTTTTCGTGCCTTATCACTATAGCAAACTCATTCATTATTAAACCCGTACCTCCAGCTTCAACTGGCCTTGTAGTTGGTTTTTATTGAGACTTAACGAAAAATTTGGTTCACCATGTTTTTTTCAATATCCTAAAGTTTCTTCCTCTAATGTTTTTTTTAAAAATGTTTGTATTGCATTGCTAGTAGTGCAAAGCTCTGCTTCGCCTCTGGGTTAATTTTTTTCTACTGTAGTGGTCAGTGTGTGCTACATGCACAGCAGTTGTCTATCCTTGTTCCTACCTGTTTTTTGAAATTTGATACAACAATCCATAATATTTGGCATGCTCTTCGACGGCAAAACTTCGAAGCTAATCAATTTCTTCTGGTTAAACAAAATTTGTTTTTCTATTTTTAACGCCATTCGAGTCAGGGCCGTTTTTTAAAATCTTGTGTACATTCAGCATTAGTTTATTTCCCCGAAGCCGTATTTCATCATATCCTAGGTTTTTGATGCATAACTCCTAGTTTGGTGTGTGAGCTTCAGAGAACATATGACAAAACTATGTCTGGTTTTGAAATAAATACAGTGAAGCATTACTGTTTTGACTTTCGAACACGCGCGGAAAGTTTATGCTTTGTTTGCATTTTTACGATATTTTTCGAAGTTTTAACTAGAAATTTTTTCCGGATTTTTTTATCGTCTGAAAAGTACTGATATCCTGAGATTAATATTCATTCAATTATCATCATTTTTGGTAGTGTTATAGGAATTTGATAAATACCAATAAAGCCAAAATTGATACTTACAATGATAATAAACTTGCAGTATATTTCGTGCCATTTGAGCTTAAGCGGTAAAATGAGTCATTCCAAATTGATTTGAGGCAAGCAAGTTGCTCTCTATATTACGAACCCTTAGAAGATGCTTTTCTTACCAAAACGTTTGGATGAAGGTAGAGGGCAGTCGAATGATTAAGGCTTTAGCCTGATGTACGAGCAGTGTTGTTGCAATGGAATATCGTTTTTTTTAAAAACAAACACAATATTTCGTTGCAGCAAGACTGCTCATATATCAGGTCAAAGCCATGAATGTTTCGACTGCCTTCTATTTCAATCACAAGTTTTTGGTCAGACAAAAAATTTTTCAATTGTTTTCTAATTTTTTATCAACAACACCAGCAACTGTACACATGTAATTTAAAATCTAGCTGCAATTTTTCTTTCTATAAAAAATTAAGAAACCCAAATTTTAAATCTCCTCCTTTTACGTTTTCGACTGTGTGTCTTAGTTTTTTAGTATTCTTTTAGCAAATTCAGTTGCAGTCTTAAAAATATCCTTTTTTTTCCAAGGTACAGTTTTAGAATTTCTGTTCCAACAATTTTAACTTTCCAGCTGATTGCTAAGTTATATTCCAGCTAAATTTTACAATACAGGTGCACTATTGCTGGCGTTGATAACGAAGTTACGTTGATCACAAAGTGATATATAGAAAACTTGAACAGTAAACTGCTATAAAAATTGAAAAGTGAAGACAAATTGGGAAAGTAGTTTGTAACAGAAAATAAATTAGGTGAATTGCACTTGAAAAAAATTGATAAGTAACAAATTGATATTGCCAAAATGTAAACCTCAAGCCGTATTGAAGCCAATCAATGCAATACTCAAATTGGATTAAAATATTGGTAAAAACTTACAGCTTAACTGACTAAGAAATTAGATAACTTATTGAGTTACCAAATTAGTTGAACACATTCTTAATTCAACAAGTAGCAACCACATTTAAACATAGAAATATTCATATATTTTTGAAACAATAAAATTTCAGTTTTGCAAAAAAAAAATCCCAATTGAGTTGTAATCATTTCTTTTTTTCTTGAGTTGCAGGAGGAATTGAAAAAACTATCGGTAACACATGGGCTGAATATGCTGCTTAGCATGCTCTTTCTCGCTGGCTTTTGTCTATCTCTACATCTCTAGTGATAAGTTAGTCTGAACAGCAAGCACTCGACAAAAGAGAATTGCTGTGAAATATTTTTATGAATATTCGGATGAAAAAATTAAAATAATTGAATTCCACGCTCAATGTCGTACAGTTTCCCTAAAATGTCGCAAAATTTCAGAGAGTCATCCCCGAACCATTAGGTGTACCATCAATCCAGTCCTGCTTCAGGGCTGAAGATCATTCTTTGAACTTTAATCAGACCTGTTTGCGACAATGCGGCTTAGGGGATAAAGTTAACTTGGTTACTGATACAAGTTGTTCTTTTCAGCCAATCGGAAACCAAACGAAATAGTTCACATGGTCGTTCACATGGAGTTTGTTCAGCCGAAATTAAAATGTTTCCAGTTGCTTCCATAAAAATCTTTTTTTTTGCCCATCGGTGTAATTACAGTATTATTGATTAATTTTTCAGCAATTTTGGCCAAAAAACTGTGAACATAGTCCTGTTTGTAAATTTTATGTGAAACTGTAACAATTTTCGACAAATTTTGAAGTTTTCTGTGGTATTTTTGAGTTTTTCAAAAGGATATGAGGAAGGCATGCAGCAAGTGAGGCTAGACAAAATAAATACCTAAGTATCATATTTTTTTTTCCAAAAGAAATGATTGACGAGCGAACGCACCTCAAAAAATTTAAAATTTCGTTTATGGCAAAACTCTATCATGATTGCATCAAACGCCATCACAAACGCTTTGTTCCATCAAAACTTTTTTGTGTTATGATGTTTTGTTTGCGGTGTGGGTGGTTGTGTGTTAAAGTTTAAATTGTTTTGTGGAGCTTGCCAAAGAACTGATAGTGTTTTTTTATTCGGTTTGCAGATTAATTTGCTCATATTTTTGCTTGATGTGGGTATTACAAATGTGAGTACACAAAAGTGGGTATTAAACAAAAACTAGACAATAAAATAAGAAACAAAGGGTCACTAAATGGACCAAGTGATTGATCTCTCTCCAGTTTGGTTTGAGGAGATTAGGTTAACTTGGTTACTGATACAAATTGTTTTTTTTTTCAGCCAATCAAAAACCAAACGCAAACTTGAATCAAATTGTTGACATGGTGTGAGTTTGTTAAGCAAAAATTAAATGTTTCCGATGTGCTTCCATTAAAAGCTTTGTTTTTTCTTATCGGTGTAATTACAGAAATATTGATAATTTTTTCCACACTTTTGATCGAAAGAATACTGTTCACAGGCAGGGTCCAAATAATTTTTGTTTGATATTGGGGCAACTGTAAAATTTATGATTTTCTTTTAGTGCTAAATTTTCAGATGAACGCACACAATTTTTTAGAAACGACGACTAGCCTTGATTGGAATAATTATTAGTTTTTCTTGATATCTATTTAAGCACAGTTTTTCGTTTTTTTTTGTTTTTTTTTCTTGTGTATTTATGTTTGCGCTAGTTTCTCCTTTAGTAGATTTCTAGTAGTTTCTAGTAGATAGGTTTAAGCTAAAACTGAAGTGAGTTAAGGCAGTATTTGAAGTGGCTTAAGTTAAGGTTCAGGTATGAGGACTTTTTTCTTAAACGTTGAGGCAACTTAAGATACTTTTTAAGGTAAATTATCCCAAGGTTGAGATGAAGGCTTTTCATTTCTGCTATGTACTGCAGTTTTCAACAAATCAGATAACATTCATTCAAAAGTCGTGTGGAACAAACTCAATCCTAGTTTAAAAAACCTTAACATTCTGATTCAGACAACATGCAGAAGTTTCGAGAATCTTTTCTACATGTTTGCCAAAACTGGTTGAATTTTATATGATACTCAGAAAAAATTAGCTTGTTCATTTCATTGGTTGGTTTTTAATAAAACTTCTGAGGCTTCAGTTTAGTAGTGAACTACTGGAAAGGAATGTAGCAACATTGTTTTGATTTTAAACTATTCTCCTAGCAACATTTCACCAATGATTGTGTTTTATCAACTTTGAATGGTCAGAATTGGAATGGTAAATATTAAAGTGCTTGTGCTTAAGGGGCAGAGCTTGGAAACTTGACAGCTCTACGGAAGACCCTGTACAACAAGGCATCGACTGCCAACTTCCCGAGGAAGGGGGACAAGATTTACGCCAAGTACTTCAAGCACCAGTTCTTCCCCGCCACCATCGACTCCTTCGACCCCCAGTCGCACACCTTCCACATCACGTGGGACGATGGGGACACGGAGGGGCGGGTGGTGAGTGTGACTGACGTAGCCCTCGACAGGGTACCAGGTAAGATACCCGTTCTACCACTTCCAGACACTACAAAACACTAACAAAAAACACCGGACAAAGTTATAGTTTACGATACCAAATCATCAAGTGGTCAAAAAAGACAATGGCTAAAAGAAATGACGGTCCAAATTAAGCTTACACCAAGCTTTTAACTCCCAATCGTTTCTAAACTCAGAAACGGGAAAGGTCTATTCGGGAACCTTCTTAGAAAAACTTCGAAAGAGTGAAACAAATTGTAGGGTAAAAATGTCCGTCTTGTGGAGAGAATTTTTTTTCTGTTTAAAAAGAAGGGATCCAATCTGTGGTCCATCATCCAGAATATGCAACAAATTGTTATGTTTTTTTGGGTATATGATATATTACTGTATCTGTTATCAGAATCAAATACAATCGGCGTGGGATCCAACGTCTTGTTCGCTCAGGGCTATTACGGCAAAAAGGGGGACAAGTTCTCCGGCTATCGCTGGCACATGGGCAAAGTGACGAATATTGTGAAACAGAAGGATGGAACCAGTCTCTATGACGGAGTGCACGCTTATGGCGAGGGAGATGGAAAATGGGTCACCTATAAAGACTATGATTTCAATTTTTCCAAACTGAATTTGGATCAGTTTCGGGTGTCTCCCAATGCGCTGGATGCTTTCGGCGTAACTGATGTTGCAACGCCAAGTAAGGCTAATTTACCCGCAGTTGACATTTTTGTTTGCTACTCGGACGAAAATACAAAAAACAATTCGGATGCAGTTAACCCCATCAAAATTATTCAAGAACTTGAGTCTTCGCTGAAGGTGAAAACGAACTTGAAAGTGCGCAACCCGACTCTGGGCGATGTTGCAATCATGATTGGATCTGCGAAAGTGTTCATTGCGTTCATTTCGAATGAGTTTGCCAATGATGAGAAATGCCAACAGCAGTTCCAGTATGCCAAAAAGTCCAAAGGTATCCCAGTGATTCCGGTGGTTGTGGGACATGGCTTCGACTGGACTCGAACTGTCGTAGGTCTATTAATAGCTGGAGAACTATACATCCACTTCAAAGACGACTTAGTGTTCAAACAGAAACTAGAAGATCTCAAAATGTCAGCTCAGAAATGTCTTTCTGAAGCTACCCACGAGGGACCGACAGAGATTGCAAATGAGCCCACAAAACCCTGCGATGGGTTCATCAGTTACTGCTGGTCAAACTCACTCATGTGTAAAAAGGCAAACGAAGTCAGTTTGGTCAAAGGTCATGAGCTGGCTGACCCGAGGAGGATCAAACATGATTTAGAGAGTAGATTAGAGGGCCGCAAACTATGGCTGGATGTGGAGCAATTAGGAACAGCCAATCAGAATGAGGGAAACGCAAGCATGTTTGAACAAATTGCACATGGACTGGCGGACAGTAAAGTCATCATCTCATTTATAAGTTCAGAGTACAGTCAAAGTGCAAACTGCAACATGGAATTCAATCACGCTGTGAAGACTATGGGAAAGCCGACTATTCCGATCATTGTGGGGGAGAGGATGTCGGATGAGTGGACTCGCACCCAAGTGGGCATGGTGCTCGGAGAAATCGAGGCTAGAGGAGCCAGCAGTGCCAGGATAGATCTGAGAGATGTACGTACAGGCACTGATTTCGATTTTCGTAAAAGTTTGTTTTTCGAAAGGCAGACACTGATTTTTATCCTAACAATGCACAAATTTTGGATAGGTTCTTTTGATTTAAAGTATGCAAAACTACCGTGGTAAAACATAAAAGTCACAATGAGCTTTTTAATTTACGCTATAAAGATCATCAATGAGTGTTTTCTCAAAAAAGTAAAATTTGATGACAAAACAGAGCATTTTTATTGCATAAAAATTAATAAAAGTGTAGGTTTACCACTGGTAACTAAGATCTCTAACTAGATTAAAACAGAATAAAAAGTAATGTGTGAATTAAAACTGACTGTGGTCTAAAAAGAGCAACTAGTGACTCGAAGTCCAATGGACTTCGTAGAGTGTACATTAACTGGTACTTGATTAAACATTAAAGGTCAAGGTTACAACATACTAAAATTCTAAATCACAACATTCCCCACTGCACAAAAATTTATATCTGCCCGCTCCTCGATGTAGCCAATATCACTCATATACTCCATTCTCCCCTCACTCCATCAGGGCCAAAGTTGAAAAAAAATTAACCGCGTTTAGCACCAATGGAAATTTACAGAGAGTACAAATTACAATGGAGGTGATTATATGGTAATATATACAGGCTACCTACAAGTTTACACAGATATCTACAGTGAATGTACAAAATGATATGTACAGTTGGGGTTATGTGGCCTTTATACAAATAAGAAAAACTAACCTAAATCACTAACTAATTAAAAATGGGTAATCCACTGGATAGAAGCTCGAGCAAATAAAAGAAATATAATGGTACAAGTTTGAAAGTTTTTAGAGTTTCAATTCGTGGCGTTAAATTTGTCGTGAAAGCTATCGGCCTCCCTCCTTGCATCTGCATCAATTCCTGAGGATATGTCGCTGCCGTCATCATTCTGAATGTTCGTACCAACTTCTACCAATGGAGATGGTAAACTCGCGACCTTTGTTGTTCGTGAAGTGGGTGTTGAGGAGGGGCCTTGTGTGGTTTCCGCCACCAGTGTTGGGGCCAAGGTATATCTTCAACTGGTGTCAAATAATCTGAAGGGGACGCTGTAGAATAAACTGTCTGAGTCCGTGGGCTCTTCGAGCTGGATAACGTAATTAGAGGTTCGTCATCGGAGTCTACTACACTGATGGTCTCCGTTCCAAGCGTCACTTGGTCAATAAAACGCTTGTTTCCGTAAAATTTTGGGGGACCTGGATTTCTTCTTGAGCGGGGTTTGATGGATACCGGAGTTTTTGGCGTCTCCAATGTCTTCTCCGGAGAGCTGTCTAATCTGATTGGGTCATCGCTTGTGCCCGTTGGAATAGTGGTCGTTGTCTGTGTGTTCATTTGGCTTGATAAGGTACTTCTAAGCTGATCTAAATCACTAAATCACAGTTTCCGCGTCCGTACCCAAGTAATCGTCAATCACTTTATCCCAAAGGTCTAACTCTAGCGATGAATCTAAATTATTAAACGTGGATTTTGAACCTTTCGTGTTCGGAGTGTTGGTTCTCCTCTTTTTATCTGCCTTTCCTGCCGTTGGTATGTAACGCGACGATGGGCCTCCTGCATTTAAGTCTGGTCTCTTCGACGGGGAGTTCCTTTTTCGCTTGCCTGCTAAATCATGATGGTTAATTAGAGGATTCGGTACTGCCGAAAATTTACTAGGGACCGACGGTTGGGTTTTATTAAAAGCTAAGTCAGATTTTCTGATCATATGTCCGTTGTCTAATGTAACCGTGTGCTTCGTGTCTGACAATGGCTTTCTCCCCAGTGGTTTAAAGTAAGGTTCGCCTTCCCTCCGGTTAACTGTCTTGCTAAACCAGTTACCTCCTTGGCTGAACGGGTTTGACAATGGGGCTCGCTGGAGGTTTCTGTCTGCTTTATCCGAAGGGTCGCTCTCATACCCTCTTTTGTCCGATGCTATGTTTTCCAGGTAGCCATCCTCAATCGCGTCGTCTGCTCCCCAGTCTTGTGCTCTATCCTTTGATAGTATTGACTTCCCCTTGTCTAAACTAATCGCGTGAGAGACCAGAGGTTTCCAAAACGTGTTGGGGGATCTATTAAAATGTTTTGAAAAAGGAGAGCATCCAATGGATGATTGTTTCGTCGAATGAATATTCCAGATGATTTTATCAATAGCCGTATTTAAAGATGGTTTTGGTTCGTTAAACGACAATGCCAGAAGTTTAGCTTTAACAGTGTAAATGAGTCGTTCTACGACTCCGTTGGATCTGTGATCCCCAACAGTACATAAAATTAATTTAATTTTGTTCTTCTCGCAGACGTTTCTAAAATCGAAAGAAGGAAAACATGACCCATGGTCGGCTCTAATAGACTTTGGAAATCCGTGAAGGTGGCAATAATCTGTCTTGAAAGATAAAATTGAAGAAGCCGAGGTATTGTTCACTACTTTTGCTGACGGGAACTTTGAGAAGCGATCGATGCATAACAAAAGGTATTTCGAGTTACCCCCATTTCTGTCAAATGGACCCGCAAAGCCTAAATCTACTTCTTCATTTGGTTCGGTCAGAATCGGTAATTTCTCCGTATTATTCGTCCCTAGTATCACTTTTAGGTTCTTACCGGCCTTGATGCACTGGATGCAATTTTTTCCGTGATAGTATATTTCCCTGTATAGATGTGGCCACCAAATGTTCTCTGCCAAGGATTTCGTTCCGAACTGTCCTGGGTGTGTTTCATGCAGTAATGACAGGAATGGCGACCTTAGAGCTGCTGGTACTATCAATTTGTTATCGTTAAATAACAATCTTTCTTTAACGTGAATGTCTCTCTGAAAGTTCTTTGGTAGGCTCCGAATTTATCCAATGGTCTGCCTTCCTCTACCGCCTTATTCACTTCCTTGAGCATTTTGTTTTCGTCCGTCATCAGTTTGATTAGCTTGTTAACCGAAATTTATAGCAAGTTAACCGATGTAATGAGTTCTTGTAACTTTTTTTTCTGATCTGAATTTAACGACTGATTAATTGAAAGTATTGACTCGGGAAGAAAAAATAAAAAGGTTTTATCTGATAAATAAAAATAATTGAGATCAAATTTTGATAAATTTAGTGGAACGCAACCGCTTGTACAAGACTCTGAACGTGAGTGATTGGAATTACAAATTCTAACCGTATCGTTTACGTAGTTCAGATTATTCGAGAAGAATGACCGTTGGATGCTAAGCGATAATTCTTTCTTTCCGCCCATTGGAATATTGCAATCCAAGTTACTGATCGTATTTACATCCACTGGGTTATACAATTTGTTCTTTTTACAATTATTCTTTTTACAATCACTATTTACAGAGAGGTTTTCTACAATCTTTTGTACTGTAGCCACTACAAATTCGCTATCATTGTGAGAGGTTGGGAGTTCTTTTCCTAAAGGTAACCTCGACAATAAATCTGTAAATCCCATTTCTTTTCTCGGTATGTGCTTGATCTTGAAATTAAATGGTAAAAGTCGGTTTACCCAACGAGTTAGTCTGCTGCGCATAGTTTTGTTACTCTGATTTGCGTTTAGTGCCGATAGCAATGCCTTATGGTCCGTTACGATTTCGAACACAGCACCATAAAAGTAATTTTTAAAATGCTCCGTCGCCCAGACTACTCCCAACAATTCAAGTTCATTTGTCAAATATTTACTTTCGTGATTATTTAAAAATCGGGAAACGAATGCTATTGTTAACCAATTCTCCTCATCCCATTCTTCTAGGGTGGCTCCCAGGTCGCTATGAGAAGCGTCTGTCTTAAGTCTTGACATCCTTTTTATGTCAAAATGATTGTTCTCTTTGATGTTAACTATCTGTTGTTTCAGTTCTTCAAACGCCTTCGTATGCTCGTCGTTCCATTGGTAAACTGATTTTCTTACGAGAAGTGGTCGTAAGGGAGAACTTAGAGATGGCAAGTTCGGGACGAATTTCATTTACTGATTGATTGACCCAAAGAACAACCTTAGTTCGGAAATGTTTTTGGGATTTGGTAGGCTTTTTATCGAATCTGATTTTTCCCACCAGTGGTTTTACGCCCAAATTTGATATCTTGAAACCCAGCCATTCTTCTTCGTTTTGGAAAAATGCACATTTCTCCCATTTTACCGCCATATACTTGTTGTCCAAAATGTTTAAAATTTTTGATAATATTGCTTTGTGTTCATTTAGTGATCCTTTCGAAGCTATTAAAATGTCGTCTATATATCAATTGGTAAAAGAATGTCTTTCAAAAAAGAATCCATCACCCTCTGGAATTCGTTTGGCATATCGCCCAGTCCGTAAAATCCCGTTAAAAATCTATAGGTCCCGGTGGTTTCGCCCCCCACAATACTAAAGTTACCTTGTTTGCTGGTGTCTGTACATCATTGTAGTTGACTGTACGCATTTTTTAGATCTAGACTTCTAAACCAAACTTCCCCTTTGCTAGACAGTTGGAGCGCTATATTGTCGATCAGTTCATGTATGTTTGGCATTTGATATTTGTTCTTGAATATCTGGTTATTTAATAGTTTCGAGTCTAATGCCAACTTGATGCTACCGTTTTTTTTTCTTGTAATCACTATTGAACTTATGAAACAATCTTCATCGCATTTGTTTAGCTTCACAATATGCCCCTCTTTTACCATTCTATTTAGTTCCATCTTTACATTATCTAGTAAATGCAGGGGAACTCTTCTACCTTTGGTTTGGATAGGTTTGAATGGAGAGTGAAAATGTGTAATTTTTCTGTCCAATGGTATTTTCCCAACTCTGTTAAATAATTCTTTGTACTTATGATACAGATTAAGAATCGTGTCTGAATTATTGTTTAACTTAAACAACTCTGGGCGTGTTATGTTGTTGACGTTTAGTAGAGGCTGTCGTTGAGCTATCTGGATTCCAATTCTCGGTAGATTGCCGTTTCCCAGGATGTTCCTCTCATGTCCAGAAGTGATAAAAAATGGAGTTTCGTCCGCGATCCATCCATTGGATTGTAATCTTACTATCACTTTCCCGATGATGTTGATTGTGTCGTTGGTAAACCCGCAGTATAGTTCCCTGGTTTTCTTCTCTACCGGGTGTATTTTCAATTGTGGATTTCTCAACTTCAATTCGTGTAGGACGTTTTGCTTCAGGAAGCTCACTGGGCTTGCAGAATCCACTGGAATGTTCAAGTTAACTATCGCATCGTCTTCCAGTCCGATGTTGACTAATTTCTTGGTTTCCAAGCCATTGGTATCGTATATTGTTCTGATGTTAGGAACGGAATAGTCATCGTTGTCATTTATCCCCTTATCGGTCCAGGCGTTGATCACTCCGCAAAAATTCTCTTCGCTTCTTGCTTGAAGGTCTTCTGGGGAATATGAACAATTCTGACTATTTACAGTTTCATCTACAGTATTTACAGCGGGTTTCCTTCCTTTCGATTTACACAGTCTTCTAAAATGTTCTTTAGATTTACAGATATTACAAACAATTTATTTCGCCGGACACATATTCAGATGACCCTTGGTAAAGGCATTTCCGCATTTCATACAAGTATTTGATCTTTCTATGTTCAAGTTTGGTTCCTTTTTTACATTATAAAAATTTTTGTACACTCTATCACTACTTCCTGTCGTGTTGAATGATCTAGTCATATTTGTTAGTTTAAGATGGTTATAATAACCTTTTTTGTCGATGATTGCTTGGCTGAGTGCATCCATTGGATTGAGGGTTTACGAAAGTAGTCTACGATTCTAGCAGTTCGTAAAATTCTTTGAATGAGATTCCTAGGACTTTCACCCTTGGATGTTTTTGAGCGAAAACCCGTTTTCCTTCTGCTCCTAGGGCCAAGTACAGAATTGATCTTACTTTTTTGTCGGCCTCATATCTCCTCATTCCTCCGAACTTCCGTTTCTCTTCTGCTAGTCTTTTCTCTTCTGCGTGTTCGTAGACTCGCATTACTTCTTTATTCCTGGCCTCCCTAGCTTTCCTCTGTTGGTCAGTTTCTGACTCCTGGGCGCCTTCTAAGATCGGTAATGTCGTCTCCCCTTCCACTGGTTCTTTAAGATTATCTATGTCTAGTTTTTCCTTTGCAATGATAGCCAGATGGAATTGGTCTATCCAGTTGTTCCAATGGGTGGGAGGTTCTACCGTGTGGTTCGGCCAAAAGGCGGGTATTCCCCGCAGGTTCGAATCAGTAGTTGACTGCGCCATTATAAAAGTGTAGGTTTACCACTGTTAACTAAGATCTCTAACTAGATTAAAACAGAATAAAAAGTAATGTGTGAATTAAAACTGACTGTGGTCTAAAAAGAGCAACTAGTGAATCGAAGTCCAATGGACTTTGTAGAGTGTACAATAACTGGTACTTGATTAAAAATTAAAGGTCAAGGTTACAACATACTAAAATACTAAATCACAACAAAAATGAAAGAGATTTTTTATGAGAAAATTTTTTTGTTTGCACGTTTTCAGTCATTTCACTTTAAGGAGAATTTGGCCAACAACAAGAGTCCCATTTTTCCGTGGTTTTCTCTACAGTCTCTTCGGTTATGATTCTGCTTTGAAAAGGAAGTAAAAAATTCTCCATTTTTCAGACTAAGTTATACCAAGTACTATGGGAGACTGAACTACAACGTCAATTCTGCTGCAATTTAACGTTATTTAAGTTTCTCTCATTTCCAAATTCTTTAGGCGTGAACCAATATTGATTTCAGGTGAAGAGTGAACAAGAGTACAGGGAAAAAGTGGAGTTGATCTGCAGTCGAGTGGCCCAGATAGTGCGGGAGGAGGAGGAGAAGGGGGCTGCAGGGGCGAATAAGAAGAAGTCGAATGTGCAGCAGAAGTGGGAGGAGGCTGCACGCAAGAACAGCAAGGCACCCACCATAGGTACGTGTAGTAAAGTGGGCCAAGTCAACACTCTATACCGAAAAGGGTCTATAGGGGGAGGATGTTATAACTATATGTGACTCTTTCGACCCTATTCGACTCATGATTCGACCCATGATTCGTTTTGCTCGTCTATGGTTTTCCTTGCCTTAGTTATGATTATGGGTTCCGCGTTGGATTCAGAAACGCAAACTTGGCTTCAGACTTTCTCTTTAAACAATTATGTCGACTATTCTATTTTTATACTTGATCCTGTCGCGTGCGTTTTAAAACTTATACTAGTATGTGCTCCTGTTGCCACTTAATGCTTCGTTTTTCTCCTAGGTGACCACGTGATCTCGCACTGGAAGGGGGGCCAGTTCTTCTTCTCCACCATCGTCTCCTTTGACAGGGACTCCATGTGCTTCACGGTCGACTGGGACGACGGAGACACCACCGGCAGAGTCGTCAAGTGAGTCACAAACTTTCGCATTAGCAAGTTTTGTGAAAAAAAAGACAAAGAGAGCAACAGATGAGAAACTTGATTTTTCAACTAAAACAAGCGAGTTCCGCTCCTAATTTATGCAAATTTCAACTACGACACGAGAGCAAATGCTTTCTTAACTAAATTATATCACGTCAATTGAAGCGAGCTAAAACAAAAATCCTAGAAAACTAGGGCGATTAGGCAACCTAAAAATTGAAAAATTCAAATTTTTGGTTGTCTAAGCTTTCAACATTTGAAAAGGTTAAATTTTTGACGTTTTAGTTGAAACCAGAGAATTGCCTCTAATAATAGTCTTGCTAAAAAAGCAAACTTCTTAAAGGATATCACAGCTTGAATGCGCAAACGCGCAAGATTGGGCAAACGTTCACCAAAAAGAAAATACCGACGGCTTGTAAAAATATTTATTACTTACGCATTACGAAAGATCACTTACGCATAAGAAGCAAACCCGATTGATTTTTTAAGGCTTCGAGTTGCATGTGTTTATCATTTGTTTGTGAAGGTTGTTGTTCCGAACATTTGAGAAATGGGGAGGAACTTTGTATTTGTATGTGTTGCAGTTTTTTCTTTTTTGTTTTCTAAGCAAAATTAAAAACCAAAAAAAACATCAGAATGGGTTGACAGATAAATCTTATTAAAGCCCTTTCAGCTCCGATTTGATTTTTTTGTAACTTCTTAAGGATTTTTTGTTTTTTTTGTCGTTTTTTGCTCAGCAACCGGCCAACCTTGTTTATTCTAGCCATTCAAATAATGGCGAGGAACTTTGTATTTAGGTGTGCTTTAGTTTTTCTTTTTATGTTTTCCACGCAAAATCAAGTTCCACAAATAACCGCCGGAATGGGTCGAGTGATATATCATATTAAATATGTTTTTGAGTCGTGATTCGAATAGCTTTTCAAAAAATTTATGAAAAATTGATTTTAAGCTTTTGATTTTTGGTCCAATTTCGAGCTAATAAGGTCAGCGTGCAGGCTACCAATAGCTTATTTATGCCCACTTAAGCGGTAAAAACTTAATTTTATTCGAGTAATGATAGTTTTAGGAGTTTTTTAGCGTCATTTTGCCAATTAAAAAATTTCAAAAATCGAAACGGTTCTGCAAAAGAATATTGAAAATTTTTTTCAATTTTTGTCACCATTTTTTTGTTTTGGTCTTTTTTTTCTATAATTGTTGGAAATGCCTAATTTTTATTTTTGCATTCAGATTTTTTCATCACACCACGCAGAAAACACGAACCAACTTTGATTTTTTAAATGTTTTTATAAGACTATGATCGGAACATTCTGTGCTACTTTCAAGGTAGCCGGCTTCAATTGTTGTTCCGACCATTGAAATTGGCCTCGATTGGCCGTGGAAAACTCTACGAAATTGGCCTTGATTTACTAAGAAACGTCAAAAACTTAAAATCAGGTCCTATCTAGGTCAAAATGAAAATGCGTGATCTGGGATCCTAATATGTGGAGTACGAGTCAAAGAAACAAACATCCGACAATGCTAGTTTTCCCAGAAAAAAACTTGAATTGTCGGAAGATTGTTTGTCTGCTTATTTTTTGTCGGCTTATTTGCAATAGCTTGGTCTTAGCTTAATTTTCTTGGGAGTTTTCATTGTTTCATAATGCCATATAGAACATGTGTAAAGATGCTAGCATATTTGAGTTTCAAGATTTTGTTTATTTTCTGTTTTTGTTTTTTGTTTTTACTCTAAAAAGTCATGGGCTTTAACTTTTTCAGGGGATGTTAAATTGTCTTCGTTGCCTCTTAAAACTTTGTTTTAAATAACGGAAATGAATGCCCAGTTACCGCCTGATAATTTTTGTCTCAGTGCAAACTGAACGCCGGATTTTTTGAAAAGTTTTTTTTAAAGAAAAGGGCGTTTGAGGAAAAACAAGTATTTCGAGAAAACATTTGAATCATGATAGCGAGAATAAAAAAGAATAGCGAGTTTGAGACCTGCTCTAAACTGAGCACAGCGCTGCGTTGTGCGGTTATAGCCGTCTGTGATATATTAAGCTGTATTGCGTGTTTAGGTACAATGAGGTGGCCAAGAATGTGTCTGTGAGTAGTGCCTCCGAGGTGGGGGTGGGAACTAGAGTCCTCTTCCCCCAGGGACAGTACAGACTCACAACAGCAGACAACAAAGCCACAGACAAAAACACCATTTCAGGATACAGGTAACATATTTAGAGCTCATACCACTCAATAATCAGATTATAGATTGGATAAACTGGTAGTTGTAATTATGACTCAATGTGACGCTTAATGAGAGCTGCAACATTATGAACTTGTGTACTGTATGCAGATACTTCGAGGGAGAAGTGACAGATATCAAGACAGAGAAGGGGGGCAAAACACTGTTCAGTGGACACCACAGTCGCTACGACAAGTCATCAGTGCCTCGCTTCAAAGATGTCAAGTACGAGTTCCACGACTATGAACTGTCTCAACTCCGACTAGCACCCAATGCGTTCGAAGTACTCGGCATGTAATATTGCATCAACCGTCAGACTGGTCCATCAAGGTCATTTGAACCAATTCTGGTCAACCCGGTGTCGTCCACTGGTTAAAGTAGTGATTCTAAACCTGATGCCACGTTTTTGGCAATATATTTTTCGGTAAACGAATCTGAACGAAGTTAGTTAGCCTGAAATTGTTCTTTTTGACGTCTTAAAACTTTAAAATGTTCTTTTCAGCATCTAAAGTTGAGTAAAAAAACTCCAATTAAAGCTGAAAAGCACTGTATTTGACGATTAAGTTACTCAATGTCAACGATATTGCCAACACCGTGACTTTAACAACAAAAGTGTTCATACTAGCATTCACAGATGTTAAATGTAATTCAGGTACCCGCTAGACTAACTTGGTTCACAGTTTGTGCAGTTTTGTATGGTTTGTTACATCATGCAGTACCTTGTTGGCAAGATATCACACTTACATATGTTATCATAAATTGATTCCTCAATTGACTACCTTAAATCCTTGTACTTATGATCTGTATATAGCTTTAAAAATGTTCATTTCCTTCTTTTGGCTGAAGCAATAAGGAGAAACGGGCGTAATTTTTCTCTGTAAAAAACTGTTTTCAGGCCTCATCTTTTCTGAATCAACAAAAATACAGTGCTGACTTACATTATCCGAATAAAACCGAACAAAACTTGAAATTTGAAACGCGTTTCTCTAAAATTGGGTTGATTTTAGAGAAAATGACGAAGACAAAGCTTGTCTAAATTTGTAACAGAATTGATATAGTGTTATTTGTTTTTCGGGCCCAAAGTTCTACCCAAAAATGGGTTTTTTTCTTAAACTTTTTAGTCAATCAAAAATTACACTGAAACTACCTGGTCAATTACTGACAAAATTATATCAAAGGGAACCTCTTATAGAGCCCGACAAACATTGACAAGGGTGTTTTACCTATAACAATTTGAGAAAAACATTTTAAAACTGTTTTTACATAAAAATGGTATTAAATACAAGGTTATTAATAAAAATGATGCTTTTTGATTATATCGCATAATAGATGGGGGGGGGATGTTTTTACAAAAAGTCTTAAACTGTTTTTTCTAATTTTTTATTTTTATTTTGTTACCTTTAATTTTTCATGCCATTTCTGCTCCATATATCTTAAAAAGCAGTCGAAGTTTTCAGGTCTTATCCCTGATACGAGCAGTCTTGTTTGATTTAGACTGTATACCGGTACCGAACAATTTCTGTATTTCTGGCAAGAAATACTCAATTTCTAATCTAAATATCTGACCAGAAATGTTTAAATATTTTAGACTGTAAACTGGTACCGAACAATTTCTGTATTTCTGGCGAGAAAATCTCAATTCTGATCTAATTATCTGACCAAAAATGTTTAAATAAAGCAGATTTTTTTTTAAACTTTTTTATTTCTGATTTTGTTTTGATCAGGAGTTAGCTAAATCAAAGCTATTTTTAGAAAGAAAATTCTCCTGGTGAGGCTCGAACCCCTGATCTACCGTTAACTTGTCGTTTACGTTAAACCATAGGCTAAATTTTCTGGAAAGGTAAGCTAGTTGTAGCAATCTAAAGCAAAGTAACCCTTGTTATTTTGCTACGAATATCGTGTTTTTTAATAAAACGTAGAAGAAATGTTTATCTTGTTGCGGTTGAGCAGTGAACTGATTTTCGATTATTCTTTCTAGAAATTGTATAATTCTAAAATTAGATGAGAAATACATTTCTTCTATACAAGAAAGACAGAGTATTAATTTAGATTATCTATTTAAAATTTCTGTCCAGATTAGAAGACCGTATGGGTAGGGGTAACTAGTTTGTTCATATGGCATGGCCTTTTGTTAAATCCATTCGCCATTTTGAGTTTTCACTTTTGACTAAAACCGATACTTTGTACGAGAAATCGACATGCTACAGTAATAACAGAAATAACAGAAATCGACATGCTACAGAGATAACAGAGACATGCAGCAGTAATAACATTTAAAAAATTAAATGAAATAAAATAAAACGAAATTTTTTTTTCTTAAATTTGAAACTTTTGATGAAAATCATCCCCCCACACGCCATATAAAGTACAAAAAGAGAGATTTCGTTCCTTGTAACAAATCAATTGTGGCAAAAAAGCTTCGTTCAACCAATTTGGAACGATTTATCAGACGGATTAAGTCTCCGCTTACGCGTTAATAGCGCGAATTATATCGCGCGTTAATTGTCCCAAATTGGTCAAAATGGCCAAAATGGCAATTTTTAAACCTTCATAACTTTACGAAAAATGATCACAGGCGAAATATTTTTTCAAATTTAAGCTCAGGACAACAATACCTTTTGAATGATATAAAAAAATTCCGTCAAAAACGGCTAGTAAAAAGTCGAAATTTGTCTGAAGAAAAAAAAACCCACCCCGAGCACAAATATCACGTTACTTTCGTACCGAAAGTCGGAACAAAAAACAAAATTACGCATAAAACTGAACACTCACTCTTATAGATTCAATCAAACCATTCATAGAAGGAATTATAAAGTGTTTCTAATAATTTATTGGCAGTACAAAAGACTATTACTCCACACAATAGATCGACCCAATTTAGTTCTTTCACTCTTTGAAGGACAAGGAAAATCGAATGCCAAAAAACTCCAGGAAACCCTTCGAGGCAACTTTTCCTTCTAGATAACCGGTACCTTTTAAAGGGATCTAACCAGTTCTAAGCAAATTTTTAAGGGCATTTTTGATAAATCAAGCACTAGAAGTGATCATGGTTGGAAAATATCCGCGTGAACGTTGCAAAGAAATCAAGCTTTGAATTCAACCTAGATAGTTTTCTCTGTTTTCACCTTCAGAATTGCCGGAAAGCGGATTAGGTCACAACGAACAGAAAAAAACCAAAAGAAATATCTGAAAAACAACCTTTTTTTTGGTTTTCTCGACACTAATTAAGTTGATTCAATGTTTCAATGGCTCTCAAAAACTCTGTTCAATTTTGCTTGTGCTAACTGGTTTTTCGTACTGAAATACGCGTTGGATTAGAAGAGGGGCGGATCTAGGATTTTCTTCAAGGAGGTGGAATTTTCAATAAACTTCGAAAATTTTATTAACTTTTTTTAGGTAGACCAAAATGATTTTTTCCGAGCTCTCCCAGAGCACCAAAAAGACCCTGTTTTCGTCTCGGTAATTTTTTTAAACACAGGCCAATGAAGGCGTTTTTAGGCACTTTTTGGAAAATTTTTACCAAAAAATTGCGTTGGCACCGAAGGAGGGGCGCCCTCACAAAGTTTTAGGGTCGGTCACCAAATATGGATATCTCAAAATAGTACAAAGGGGGATCCATTAGGTCCCAGGGGGTCGATTCCCTGAGGAGAGAGAGGCGTCCGCCCCAACGTCCTCCCCCCTAAATCCGCCCCTGGACTAGAGGTTTTAAAAAGTTAAAACGTGCGTTTGTGAATCAATCATAAAACTTTTAATTATAGGTAGCTTTTATTTAAGTGTGTTTTACATCAAGACCACAATTGGTTAAAAATTGCTTTAAACAGGATATTAAAATGGACCGAAAATAAAAAAACAGCGGGCTTTTTTCACTGTTTTTTTTTATTGGAACCAATGAATGAAATGTTAGCGCTACAGATTAGATTTTGAACTAATTTTTCCGACTTTTGATACAAAAGTAACGGAGGGGTTTTTTTCTTCAGACAAATTTTGACCTTTTAACTAATTTTTTAAAATGTCATTCGAAAGGTATTGTTGTCTTGAGCTTAAAATTGAAAAGATATTTCACCTGTGATCGTTTTTCATAAAGTTATGGGGGTTTAAAGATTGCCATTTTGGTGTCAGGACTATTTGTCCCAAGTCAATTGGCCCTATGCCAACTTGTCCTATACTAATTTGCCCTACATGGCAACTTTTCCAATGCCAACTTGCCCCACATGACTTTTCGTCCCATGCCGTTTTGTCCCATACTTAACACTTTTACTTGATTCTTTGATGTTCAAATTGAGGACCAGCAAGTGATAATGTACACTGGACCCGTTTTGACATAACGAAAGTCTCAAATCGAAAATTATTGAAGCTGAGCCTAAAAAACCATAATTTTTGGAAATTACACGCCAAAATTTGACAATAATCCACAATTAGCGCCTTTGAAACAAAACGAAACACGACTCTTCTTTCATTTTGCTTCATTGTTTACCATTTTTTTCTACACATCTAACATAAATACTATGAGTCAACTTACGTGGGGAATATCTCAACGAAATAAACGAACGCTAATTATTGACGGACACGATTTCACAAAAAAGCAAAGGACAAAAACTACTGAGCACTTGAGATGCGCAAGATACAGTTGACACAAATGCCGCATGCTCGCCGTCACAGCAGGCGATGAACTCGTTTCAACAAAAAATGAGCACAGCCACGATGTTAGACCTGGGAAAATTGAGCAAATCAGATCATGCATCAAATGAAAAAAGAGGCCAGGCAGCAAATTGTACCTGTTAATTGTAGTATAACTGCCACTTGTCTCCAAGAAGTAACAGATGAGAAAGCTGTACAATTATCCTTGCCCTGCCGTGCAGCAATAAACAGAACTCTTAACCGCCAGAAACGGAACTTGGTCCCGTCCTTGCCAATCATTAAAGACAGGCATTTCATAATTCCGGCGGAATATTCTGATTTTTGTTTAATCGACAGTGGAGTAATGGATCCTGAGCGAATTTTGATTTTCGGTGATCGAGATATTGTTCATGCCCTCCGAGTTCACAATATTTCGCGCTATTAACGCGTAAGCGGAGATTTAATCCGTCTTAGAAATCGTTCCAAGTTGGGAATTGAAAGAAGCTTATTTGCCATAATTGATTTGTTACAATGAGCGAAATATATCCTTTTGTACTTTTCTCCTTTGCCAGGTGATGATTTCCATAAAAAATTTCAAGTTTTGAAAAAAAAATATTTATTTTATTTTAATACATTTAATTTTTTTAATGTTATTACTGCTCAATAAACCTGAAAAGGCAGTCGGAACGCTTAGGGCTTCGCCTTGATCCGAGCAGTCTTGTTTGTTTTTCAGTTTAAGTAAGAAAATTTTTGATAGTAGATTTCTCAAGTTGACTTTAGACTTCTTACATTATCTACATTATCAAAAAATTCAACTTCTGGAAGTACTACGCATAATTTTTTCTGAACAACACTGTAAAACAGAAAAATAAAGATCATGCTCTGGCTAAACATGAAGTACTCCGCTGACAGTTTTTGGCAGCACGGTAAAATGTTTTTTTTTTCAGTACTAATTTGTGCTCATGTCAGCTAGAAAACTTTTGGCATGCTATGTGTGCTTTTTCACCTCTCAGCATCAATTTTATGATCAGCTAACAACGGCACAGTTAGAGACTCAGACGCTTACGACGTCCCGATGTGAACTGATTTTTGAATTCAAGACACAAGTCTTATTTAATTTATTACACAACTGCTTTTCAATACTTTTCAACGACTCCCTTTAGAAAAAATGTTCAGAAAGCACGTTTGTATCTAGCTGGCATTTTTGTT